TTTGTTTTTCAAACAATTCTTGTATTGTCAATTTTTTTTATATAAAGAAATTCCAAAATTAGCAAATCTCAATATTTCCACGTTTGCAAGAGTTTCTAGGTTAAATTTGGAATTATTTCCATTAATATCAAGCATTACCTCAACAATTTATAATGTTTAACATGACCGAATATATTTTATCATCCAGGATTAAGCTTAGGAGCCGTTACTTAACGTTTCTCTAATTCCCAATGTTATCTTGGCCAAATCCCCCAGCCATATGGCGGGCCTGTGCCGCCCAGCTGTCAACAGTCACTCAAACTGATGAGCGCTGCCAAGATTACGGGGTGAAGCTAAGGGAAGCCTTGTCGTTATCGTAACCCAACCGTCGTCTGTCTGTCTTGACTGTGTGTGTCTACAGTATCCAGCTATTACGTCTTGGATCCTAACTTTCTAGCCTGTTTATTTTTCCTCTACTACATATATTTCTCTTTAACACACACATCCCCAGGAAGCAGCCTGTAGCAGCTATCTATCGCCATGGTACCTATTTACTGCTAGGTAAACAGGTGCATTAGGGTGAAAGACACTCCATTATTTTCTGCCTTGGCTGGGAATCGAACCTGGGCCCTTAGGACAACGACTCCCGAGCGCTGTCTACTCCGTCGCGAAACCTGTGTCACCTAGCTTGCAGGATCGCAACCCGTTCTCGCACTTGCTTAGTCAATATTGGCATATTTAATAAGTGCATATGTGACATACTAATTGATTGTAAATATTATAGCTTACCTTGAAAAGCTTCATAGAAATCACCAACGTCTCCTAACCTTCTTAGTATGTTAAGATAAGGCTCCTGGCCCCGTTTTCTGAACGGTCGCAGATTTACGCGACGACTCATTTCTCATATTTTATCATATACATTTAAAACGTTGACTCGAATTGGCTTCAACTACGTCTAACCTATTTCTCTTATTGACAGCTCTAAATCTTGACAAGTTGCGCGTGTGTAGGTTGGGTGCCGCTTGTACAAGCCACACCTTGGAGCTCTAGAGCATGCAGTGTAGTCGGCTTAGGCAGGATGAAGCTTGTAGGTAAAGGCTAGGACAGGACAGGCTAGGCTAGGCGTGCTAGGACATACTTAATATTCCAAGCTTTTGGAGGGGAAATTAGAGAAATATTTTTTCGGATCCTCTATATCGAAGCATACCAGGAAATTTGGTTTAGTGTTGGGCTTAAAGCCTATCAGCCTCTGGAGGGTTATTAAGGCCTCTTCAATACGTTAGTGAGCCAACCAACAAGTATACTTCAGACCTGAACAGAGTGAAGGAGAAAAGAGAAAAGTAAACTAGTGGATACATACTCAGATGGTAGACCTATCTTGAGATGATTTCGGGGCTTTAGTATCCCCGCGGCCCGGTCCTCGACCAGGCCTCCACCCCCAGGAAGCAGCCCGTGACAGCTGACTAACACCCAGGTACCTATTTTATTGCTAGGTAACAGGGGCATAGGGTGAAAGAAACTCTGCCCATTGTTTCTTGCCAGCGCCCGGGATCGGACCCGGGACCACAGGATCACAAGTCCAGCGTGCTGTCCGCTCGGCCGACCGGCTCCCTTGGGACAGAATAATAATATCAGGATGGACCAAAGGGAAGACGGAATCATCAGTTACCTATTTAATTAAAGCTGTAATTGGTTGAAACTTATTACTTGGCACAAAATATTAAATCATAATTTCTGATTTAAACCTTCAGGCTTACCACGTAAATGCGCAATGTACGCCAGCCCGGACACGTGTACGCCCACATTTACGCTGGCACGGTCATGCGCGCTCCTGCATACACACAAGGATACGCACATGAATACATTCATGAGAGCATCCTCGCCCACACACTGGAAGCGTGTGTACCTGCTGTCACATTGTTTGAACACGTATGACTAAATGGAAACCTGCTGTGTAAATATAAGGTGCACTCGTCTCTCGGGGAACCGGTGCTTTGTAAAGTGACAACTGCTGTGTGATTTTCATTCACACTTACTGTTTGTAAACAAAAAAAAGAATTGAATGTTCTTTGTTCAAATCTGCGTAACATTTTCCTTACCCAGTTCTGTTCATGGATAAATAACTCTCTCCCTCTCTCTATGTATACATATACATATTTTTTAAATGCTCAACATGCTCTCCAACAAAAATTAATATATTTATGGAATGCTCTCAGGGGATGTTTAGGCTGTGAATGTATAAACAGTAAATGTTTACAAGCTTGAGTCTTGAAGGCTCAGCCGGTGACGCTTGGCAACTCGCAATGATTCGCAAACAAAAACATTGAAGAAAAACACCTCCCGTGAGGTAGAGGAGCGTTTGTCAGCGTCTCTGACCATGCACGTCTTCCCGCTCGGACCACTGGCGACGCCGGAGCCACGTAACACGACGCGGCAAATGAGTAATGTTGAAAATAAAGGTGTTTGTATTTGTGGTGGGCGCGGACGTGTGGCAAGCGAGGGCGGGGATGTGGGTGTCGGCGGCGGCTGCGCTCTTCAGCTGGCCGCCGGGAGCCGCAGTGTTCGTGTCGCTCGCTTTACGTCGCTCTCTCCCTCTCTCACTCGCTCTCTCTAGACGTTGCTACCTCTCGCTCACTCTCACACGCCATGGACCCAGCCTTCGAGGGAGCCGGAGCCGTGGAAGGCCTGCAGATCTGGAGGATAGAGGTGAGTTGACGGTAGATGACAGGCGGCGGCGGGTGGGGGGAAGGTTGAACACGCCCACATCCTCGGGGTCACAAGGTGCCGCTCACGCCAAACACTGATATCACACGGCTCCTGTGACACTGGACGATATCACCAGTGGATATCACGTTGCGGCTTCACCAGTGACACCCACCGAGCAACCTTGCCGGTTGCTCGGTTGTGTTCCAGTCTGGGTGTGGACCGGCGGCTTTTCCTGACCTTCGTAGCCTGAACGAAGTCTAGCGAGACGTTTGCTTGCTTTCCGCTCCTGACGCGAACAAAAAGGACGAAAATATTGGAGATTTATCATATAGTTTTGTCTTTTTTTATCATCATATCGTTAGGCGATCTCCGGTCATGCTGATGCCACTATGTCCAAACCATCCGATTATAATTTGTAATTTACATCTGAAAGGCGTTATTCTTGCTGATAAACGGGACTTGAGAGGCGGGACCATAGAGCCGAAGCTCGACCCCCCCCCCCCCTCCCGCGAGTACACACACTCACTGGAGGAGAGAAGCTCAGCAGACAATAGTAATATTTTATTATAAATATTGGAGGGTTTGAAATGCAGTGTTGACATGGTAGGCATATTTATAATTGTTATAGTGCCATTCGACGCGCTTCAGCGAGTCGCGGATACAAGGACAGGTGTATTCGGTGTGTAGGTGGTACACACAGGCAGTGTCTGGGATGCTTCCGGACGCAGGTTCGAATCCTCGTCACGGCCCTGGTGGATTTGTAGGTGGTAATAATGAGAGGTGAGGCTTCCAGGCGGGGGCGGCAACTTCAGGGAGGACCTGAAGGTGTTCCCGCCCCCGCCTGCAACACCTTCCTAAATTAGCGTGAAGCAGTTAAACAAACACAAATTCCAAAGGTATGCAACGCGGCTTCTACCAGAAGTGCGAGACTTCTACGAGGCTTCTACTACACAATGATGGATTACTAAGAGACATGCCTCTCGTGCCTGTAGGGAGACGAAGTAGAAGTTCTCAGGTTCTCAGGGGAAACTGATAAGATGTATAAAGAGGTTATGTTCAGGTATTGGAGGCAAGCAACAGGAGGATCGGGTGTCTTGATTTGATTACCTGTTACTTACAAGGTGGGACTCAGGGACTGTATAGAGCTCGACCCTTCCATAGCTCGTAAGGGAAGCAATAAATTACTTTCTTGCTCACTGGTGTACCTAGCGACACGAACCCACCGCAATAAGATTTCCTTGCTCCCCCCTCCCCCTCTCGCTCGCTCCTCTCTCTCTCTCTGTCTGTCTCGCTCTCAGTCGAGGCGAGAAATGCAATGGCAGGTACAAGGAAAAGGTATATTAACACAAAAAAAGTTGGCTCGCCAAATATAGCCACTAGGCTGGACAAGATTTGCTTTCCATTTTGTGCTCCGGGAGGAGTGGGTGGCCGACGTTTTAAAGGATATTGTGAATTTTTTATTTTGGGAAAATTTACATAGTGGTGGATTTAGAATGGGATTGCTGAGGAAATAAGGTATATAGTGGAATGTAAATGAAGGGAAATTGGGGGATAAGATATGTTGAATGAGGTATAAAGGAGAAAAGGGATCGTTTTGATGGAGAGGGGGAATGTTGAAGGTGGTGGGGGAGAAGTGGGGGACCGGACATGCTTGTTGCTTCCCTCCCTCCGTCTTTATATTCCTACCAAGGTCATGCCTTGTTTCTCATTCACCCTCGCTCTTCTCACTCCCTTCTTGCCTTCCCCCCTCTCACTCCCTCGTTCCCCCCCTCACCCCTACCCTTCCCCTCTCAACTCCCTTCTTCCCCACCCTCCCTCCCTGACTCCTTCCCTCCCTGACTCCTTCCCTCCCTCTCTCTCTCTCCCTCAGCCTCGTCTACATCTGTTACTTCCATCTCCCCTCCCCCCCCCCTCCTTCCTCCCCGTTCCTCACCTCAAACACTCCATTCCTCCACTTTCCCCCCCCCTCCCTTCTCCCTCCCTACCCCCCACCCGTGTGGGTTCTTTCCCCTCCCTGGCCCTCTGCGTCTCTCCTCGCACCGCTGTGGCACCACCATACGAAGCTACAGACGCTAGACAGTAAAGTCCCAACAACATGATAGAAAAAGATATATCCCAACCTATATAGGAAAAGAATGGCGTCGCCACATGCTATAAGGGTCAGGGATGGACCGAAACGTTGCCCCATTTGGTTTTTATATTTTCATGTGTGGGTTGGACGGCCTACGGCACTTTGAGAGGCCTATGCGGGACACAACCTATTTAAAAGTTTAATTTCCTGCTGTCGTATTTTTTTTTATCTCCCCGACATAGTTTGTGACTATCTTGGGTATCCTGGGAGCTTCGGTTTCAACTCTTTTAACCCTGTCGTAGCTCAGTCGATTAAGGCAGTGTCTGGGATGCTCCCGGACGCAGGTTCGAATCCTCGACACGGACCTTGTGGATTTGTTCTTTATCCTGGGTAGTTTAATAATTTACGACTACTGTAAAACTTGTGTTTACATTTACCCTTTTGTAAATTCAAGTTTGTCTTGACTGTATTGGTTCTATTTGTAAATGGCCTTCTTGTACCACCTTTGTTTATTATCTTGGTTAATTAGCATCTTTCAGTGGCATCCAGCACCCTCCTCCTGCGTCTCTCAAGGGGGTGTGACCTCCGTGTTCTTAGTCTCTATTCTTAAGACAAATTCATGATAATTAGTCGTCTTTGTCGTTTCTTATTGTTTTGTCCTTAATTATCCTATGTATCGTCCCCTTCTTGTATGTTATTAAGTTGGGCGGGTTAGTCTTAAGACAAAACAAACATTACCAACCTTGCTTAGTGTAGTTGGCTGCGTTCTCTACTCACAATCTGGTATCCAGGGTTCGATTTCCGGGCGGGACGGAAATGGTTAGGCACGTTTCTGTTCACCTGTTAATCAATTCCGTCCCCGACAATACTAATTAATTAATATTCCTTATCAGTGGACCGGAAAGTGATCCGGTCAATTTCCGAAGGAGGACACTCTAGGAAGTGTCTCCTTCCGGTGACGTGTGTAGTGAACATGTTGAACTGTAGTTAACATGTTCACTACAGTTAACATGTTCACTACAGTTTAACATGTTAAACCGTGTGAGGATTGGGTGTAACCTTTGTTTATTCGTATCGTCTTTGCTGCAGAGAGCAACTCTCAATAATATCCCGAGGGCCGAAACCAATAACTCTTGCCTCGTGTAAGCTGCCACATTTCGGGCAGTGTTCGACTGTCATAAAGTCGAACACGGCCCGAAACGTTTGTCACACTGTGTGTGTGTGTGTGTGTGTGTGTGTGTGTGTGTGTGTGTGTGTGTGTGTGTGTGTGTGTGTGTGTGGCTTGGGTTATGGGTCTCTGCTTTCATTGGTTATGTATTTGGGTAGGTCTATGCTGATACCTTTAGACCTGGTCTGACCTGAATTGGTCTCTTTTTAGACCTGGTCTGATCTTGCCCGTAAATAAGCCATGGGTATAGCCAGCTCCCTTCCTCTACTATAAGACAATATCCAAACCCATTATAAATTATTGACCCCATTATAATTGTAGACTTTTTAGGCTAAAACCCTTAGTCTTACTGGCTGGAGGGAAAGAGTTTCTTAAATAAGGTGTTTGACGTGTCCTCACGATGCCAACCACAACAGCCGACTATAAAAGCCAAGTCTGCATTAGTGAACGGAGGCAGCGGGTGTGAGGGGAGGGGGGGGGAAATAAGGATGAGGGGAGAGAAATGAGGGGGGAGAGAGAGAGAGGGGGTGTGGCGAGACGGGCATGAGGCAAAGATGAGTTAAGCTTGAGGGACCATGCCGAGGGTGCAGGAGGAAAGGGAGGCGAAGGGGTGAGAGAGAGGGTGAAAAACGGAAGAGGGAAGTGAGGGGGAGAAGTATATGGGATGGGAGAACAGGGGGGAAAAGGGATGAGGGAGAGATGGAAGATAGACATTCCTCTACAGCCATCTTATAACTGGGGTGAGCCGCCTTGCACTCACGGGAGACATCTCCCGTCACGCAGGGTGCAGTCGCGCCTCCACAGATCTCCAGTTTCAGCTCTTGACACTGGTAATGGCTCAAAAGGGCCACCACTTACGGGCTATTCATGCCCGTGCCACCTCTTGGGTGGCTTAATCTTTATCAATCAATCAATATCGCCTTGGACTGGATGGGTGGGCCGCCTTGGGCTGAGGAGGGGTCGTGTATGGTGCAAATCCCCCCAACCCCATGCAGTACACAGGGACGGAAAGTCCTGGAACCGTACAAGAACCTCAAGAAGATCCATCTATAATAGGCACACATTGGGTACAGTTTTGGGTGTTAGGGTTTGGGTGATTGGTGGGGAGTGGGGGGGGGGTTTAAGGACTGGGGATCAATTCTCTAGGACACGGAGGAGGATGACGAACCTTATCAGCAGTACCTGGTCAGAGTTTGTGCGTCACACAAAGCGTTTCTTATCAGGACGCTGATTGGGTAATTAGATAGGGTAAGTTATTTATTCCCGCAGTTGTAAACGCAAGTCCTCCGTAGCTTGGAGATCAGCGCATGTGACGCCCGCGCATGGCACCCGCGCATGCGACACCACACACAGCGACGCTACATTAGTTTCCGGTCCTTATCTCTGGGTTTATCTGTTCATTTCCTTCAGAAAGCGCACGTTACGTTATCCTGTATCCCGGGCCTGTACCCTGATACAGCGTTGCTCAGAGGGCTTGTACCCAAACACAACAGATATATAATACGTATTGTTATATATATACATATATATATACTTGCTCTCTACTCAAACTATAGGGCAAGTAGCTCTGGCGGACGGAGAGAGCTTGTGTAGTTTGACGTATAAGCAGAATATACGACTCTGGGATAGCACTCCACCCCCCTACACCCAGAGCCTGGCTGTGTACACCCCTACCCCCAGCACCTGGCTGTGTACACCACACTTACCCCCAGCACCAGGCTGTGTACACCACACTTACCCCCAGCACCAGGCTGTGTACAC